GTGGTTTAATCCCATTATCATATCCTGCTTCCCAGGTGATGGGGCTAATGACTCTTAAGAGCTTCTTTTGTCTTGAGATCCCTGGCTCCAAACTTCCTGATGGTTCCACATCTGCATATGTATAAGACTAGCTACTGCTTTGGGCAAAGAGATGAGGCCAGGTTTGGTTTCTGCTTTTCAAAAAAATGCTTTTAAAAATTCTTTTGGTGAACAATATCTTTCTTTCTGCCTTTTTAATATTTCCTTCTCTGGGCTAACTTCCCACAGTTGGGATAAATGAATCCCACCCATCTTGTCTTTATTCCTGGTAGCTTCTGAGACACATCCATTTTGGCAAGAGAACAAATGTGGTTTGCTATTACTTTCCCCCAGGATGTATTTCCCCCCCCCAACTTCTCATTCTAATCTACTGATCTGATATTCCCTGGAGATTTTCCATCCAAGTCTTGTCTAGGACCACCCCTGCTTAGCTTCCACGTTAAGTCTGCTACCTGCTGAGACTTCATGAGTTTTAATGAAGAGTGACTTGATATCATTCTGTTCCTTCAAAGCTTCAGAATGGATTGTGGGAGATGGAATAATCTCAGTCCCCAAAATGAATTGCATTGGAAGTTCAGTGCAACTTCCAAACTTATTATTTCCCAGGCCCTGTTCATTGCCAGCTGACTGTCACTTTTGTCTCTTTTCCATCCACTTCTGGTAGGACTTTGCTGCCAAAAGCCACTCCTATTTTTTGTCATTCCGATCATATCATCTTTTTCTTATATACCAGTGTTTCTCAACCTAGGCAGCTTTAAGATATGTGGACTTCAACTCCCAGAATTCCATGCTGGCTGGGGAATTCTGGGAGTTGAAGTCCACAAATCTTAAAATTGCCTAGGTTGAGAAACCCTGGTATATACCTTTACAGGCTTTCTGCCTACTTCCAGAGCATGCATACACTCTTTCTCCATGTTTTCTCTGCTTTGCCTTACCTCTCTGTACTGAAAACCCAAAACATCACTGTTATGTCTTGGGCTCTGATTGACAGAGCAGGTGCAGGAAGCTGCACTGAGTGGTCTGCCCGGGCCAGACAGGCTGTCTCCAGCTTACTGAGCATGCGCGGGAGTGGGAAAATACGTTGCATTCATTGGCTGATGCTGTCCCTTGCAAAAGGTATAAAAGGGGGAGGAGCCATTTTGTTTGCTGTTCTGTTGTAGCTGAATAAAGAAGTACCTGTTTGTTACTCTGCCTCGTTCAATGCCTTCTAACGCGGGAAACAGAACAATCGCCTTTTCTGACCTTCCCCAATTTTAATCATCCAAAAGTCTTCTTATTCCATGAAAGTAATCCCTATTGTTCCTCCCAGAATGATGTCTCCCGATAACTGCCTCTCTTGCTTCCCTTTTTGTCTTTTTCTCAATCCCTGTTGTGTGTAGGAAGTCTTTGGCTCACCCTTTAATGCCTTTGCTTTATGATATAAATGTGTAATTGAAATTCTTTCCTCCCTGCGCGGATATGAAAAAGAAAACTGCTGTGATTTTCCTTACCCTTATATATCAGTAGTTCTGTAACATTTATAATGTCTCCATGTGTGTCACATAGAAATTAATAGGAGAGAGAGGGCCAGAATTCTATTCCAAGCAACCAGTTAGAGTCCTGAAATTGTAATAATGGTAGACTAATGATGTCTGGGGCACCAGGTTCAGGAAGAATGATCTAGATTACTGGAAGCATATGTTTATCTTAGACTACGGTTCTCTGTTGTTAAAGTCCTGGCAGCCTTTCTTTTCTGCCATCGGAATTTTGTTCCCACTTCAGGCTCCAGCAGATAAAATTCCATGCTTCCAAGGCAATATCTAAGCTGGGTTGGTTGATTTTCCACTTGACTTTTAAGAGATTCTTTTAAGTAACATAAATCAGTAGCAAATTGGCGTGCATCATATTTACTTCTAACAATGGAATGCCTTGAAGCCCCATAAAGGTCCTTAGTGAATAGTAGAAAATACAATGGGGAAACTAGTTTACTTTCTGCTAAATGGGTATTTTGTAAGCAGCCACACACTTTATGATGGTCATTTTGTGTACAGATATCTCCTGCGGCAGTTGTTTTGTGTAGCCTTAATCTAAATCTACAATCGGTGCCCCTCTATGTTTTCTTATCTAACCCAGTGGTCTAATTCCTGTTTACCAAGCCTTATGAAGGATTCCTTTTCTTCAAAGGCTGCTCTGGATGTTAACCCTACTTGAATTGTAATGCACACATTCCCATTAGGGTCTATGATTAATTTTCTTGCAAGCCCCAAATATAAATTTAGCCTTGTTTTGTCAAATTTGGGAAATGTTTCTTTTGAAAAGCAACTTTAATTAAATCAATTCAGAATATGTAGCTGTGTCACAGTCTTGGAGATTAACTCTCACAGAATTCTAAAAAGGCCCTTGCCTCTTGTTTCTTAACAAAAGCGAGCAGATACCTGTAATTCTATACAAATTTACCTGTAGTTAAGTCCTCCAGAACAAAATCGGTTTCACTATAGATAGAGATGGGATTGCCCTATGAAAGGGGCAATCTACTGCAATTGACTCCACATGAGGCTTTGAAGATTACTTAGAAGCTAGACCTGTCCAGAATGCAGAGGTCTGTTTATTGGCTGTATACCCTGACAATAGCACGTTACTATAGCACAGAGATGGTGAACCTTTTAGAGACTGAGTGCCCAAACTGCAACCCATAACCCACTTATGTATCGCCGGGTGCCAGGTGGGTGTGGCCCACTCGGCAGGTGCAGCTACAGTGGGCTTGGCAGACTGGGTGGGCGTGGCCACTGGATGGGTGTGGCTGCAGTAGTCATGGCAGATTGGGTGGGCATGGCCGGGGTGAGCGTGGCCACCTTGATGTTGCTTATGGGGAGGGACACCTGTGGGAACCGGGCAGGGTTGGGGGAGATCCAGGGGGTCTCTGGTGGGTGGGATGGTGGGCTCCCCAATGGCAGGTCAGGCTGGTTGGCCTTAGGCCAGTGATGTCAAACTTTTAGAGCCCACATGTGCTGGGCACGTGCCAACAGAGAGGGCTCCGTGTGCCACCTCTGGCACACGTGCCATAGGTTCGCCACCACTGCTATAGCACCTTATAGCAATGGTACAGTGGTTAAAGACACTGAGCTTGTCAGCTGGAAAGCTGACAGCTTGGGTTCAAGACCAAGTGCCACACGACGGGGTGAGCTCCGGTTACTTGCTCCAGCTCCTGCCAACCTAGCATTCCAAAGCATGCAAATGTGAGTAGATAAATAGGCACCACTTTGCGGGGAAGGTAACAGCATTCCATGTACCTCGGTATATAGTCATGCTGGCCACATGACCACGGAACAATGGTGGCTCTCTCAGCTAAGAACCGGAGATGGACATTGCTCTCTAGAATCAGACATGACTGGACAGGTGGAAACCTTTATCTTTATAGCACATTATTATAGCACATTGCTTTGGCTCCTTATCAGCTTCTGGGTATGAATCAAATACAGTAATGTTTTCAATAATTTTCCATAATCAATTGTATTTTTACTGGTAGTCCTTGAAGAACAGCCTATAATGAAGCCTGCCTATTACAGCAATAAGTTGTGACAATCGTAAAGTGGCTCACCCAAGTGACTGACCTAATTTTACAACCTTTTTCTGGTGGTCATTAGATGAATCCAGTGTTTGATATGGGGCATTTTTGCCAAAACTCAGAAATAAATGCTGGTTTCTGGCAAAAATGTTGTAAATCACAGTCATGTGACCAGAGGAGGCTGCAGACAGCCATGAAATGAGCTCCTGCCATTGGAACTTCAGAATTGCGTCATAAGTTGCTTTTTTGGGTGGGGGTGAGGTTCATCATAACTTTGAATGGTTGGCTAAGTGACTAATCATAAGTTGAGGACTATTTGTATAGTACTACTACTACTCTTCTTCCAAATATTCAGATATTCCAAAACAATTGATTCTTTGCCATATACGTTTATTGTAGCTGTCTGTCTAGTTAGGTATTGTGAGAGTGTGCTGCCCCACTCACTCACACATGCATGTAACTGTGGTGTAGTATGTTTATTAATATTCCCCAGCAATTCCCTTCACCGAAAACTCAGAACTGTCCCAATTAAGTCCAGCCATCATCAGGCCAAGATTAGTTCACAGAGCAATGGCCTAATACTCCACAAAGCAAATAACTCCACCAGGCAAAATTTAAATTCATACACAAGAGAGCTCACGTGGCAAAAAAAAGTTCAGAGTCTTCAAGGCACAATTCGAAGCACGGTGTCAATCCAGAGTGAAGAAGGAATCACGGCAATCAAACAAACAGCTAGAAAACCAACTTGTTCCCAGCAATGCCTCCATCTGTGATAAATAGCCAGCTTTCCAGTGCAGTCCATCAAGACGGGTGGGGTCTTCTCCTCGCAAGTAGTCTGTCTGATCTCAGCTACTCTTGCCATTTCTCTGCCCTGCGTGTTCTCGGATCAGGTGTAGAAGGCAATTCCTCCTCCTGTTCACTGGCCATCTGCCACTGCAAACTTTCCCCAGTTGAAGTCTCCTCTAAATCTGTTTCGGATGGTTCAGAGCCATCAATCAACCCAGTTCCTGACGTGCCAGAAATGGTCTCAACCTTCCCTAAACTGACATCTGAGGAGGAATCTGGGGAGTTGCCCAAGGGAGACATCAGAGAAAGTTATAGCCAATTGGTTTTTGAGAGTGAGTGGAATAATAAGAAAGTTGGAGTAGAATAAAGGAGAGCCACATTCAAGTCTGTCCTTAACCATGGAAGCTCACAGGCTGAATGTGGGCCAGTGTCTCTCTCTTAACCATACTGACCTTACAGGATGCTAGTTGTGAGGAGTTAATTGAAAGAGAGAGTACTATGTGTGTGGCCTTGGGCTTCTGGAGGGAAGGCAAGGTATGGATATGATAAAACTAATAAATAAATAAACTTTTGTAAGCTACACATATCTGGAGTCTTCTAGTTTAGGAAAGACGGTCTTAATGGTTTAATTCTGCTTTGCCTCAAAATGTAGACTGTATCATTTAATTTTTGGCTATTGTCAAATGGATTCATTTTAACTATGTATTCATATAGTTATATATTAGTTGCATGCCCTAGGAGCAAAAGGTGCCATGGACCTGCTGGTTTCTGCTGCCTCAAGGACTTGGAGTAAACCAATGGCAGCTAATGCCAGTGTTTGTGGTGGATCATAATATGGTCATCTAAATAGTGGCTGGCCACTGAATTTGCTCCCTTTTTTACCTTTAGGAACAGTTAAAAGAAGCCGAGGAAGTATATCAGGCTGGCATCGAGAATTGTCCCGAAAGCTCTGATCTGCATAATAACTACGGGGTTTTTTTAGTCGATACTGGTAAGTAAAAACAAGACAAAACCTGAAGGACTAAGAACTACTCTGGACAAATTAAAATGATTACCATCAGTGTTACTAGCCCAGCAATTTATCTCAAGTCTGCTCTGGGAAGATTTTTTTCTTATTTTCCAAAAGCTCAGCTCAATGTGTTGCATTATGTGTTGGATCATTTTTATTATTTACTGTTTACTATTATTTATTATGCGCATTGTAAAGCTGTTCTTCCTCTCCTAGAACCATATTTGTGGCCCAACACCCTCAACTGTCAAGTGTGGCTTTAGCCCAGGGGTCTCCAAATTTGGCTGCTTTCAGACTTGTGGACTTCAACTCCCAGAATTCCTCAGCCACTAAATTCTGGGAATTGAAGTCCACAAGTCTTAAAGCGGCCAAGTTTGAAGACCCCTGCTTTAGTCCTTATATCAGCTTCTCCAAGATGAAGAGCTTTATCGCCCCCTCTGGTCAGCTGCAGCAAAGCAAGGGAAGAGGCTGCAAAACCCGAGGTCGAAATGCGTCAGAGTTCAGATGCAAAATACACACACACCAGAGGCATCCCAGACTGGACTTCAAAAATTCCCAGAATTTTTGGCAATGGTCATGATGGATTGGGAAATCTTAGGAAAAGTCTGTACATCTGGAGGGCACCCAGGTTGTGAGAAGGCTGATAAGAGCATTTAAACTCAGTTGAAAAGACAATCATGTAGATAGGAGGATCCCAAGTTAGATGTTGCTATTATTACAGGTTTTTCCATTCAAATATTGCTGATAGTGGAATCAGACATTATTTATTTGCGGAATTATCTTAGATGTGTTTATGCAAGTAAGTTCCAGTTCAATGGGCATACCGGTAATCCTTGACTTATGACCTTAATGGAGCCTGCCCATCATAGTTGTAAGTTGTGGTGGTCATAAATTGGGCCACCCATGTGATTGACCTGATTTTATGACCTTTTTTGCAGTGGCTGTTAAGCAAATGCTGTAGTCATTAAGTGAAACAGTGGTTTGCTATGGGCCATTTTTGCCAAACTAAATGCCAGTTTTCAGCAAAAGTGTTATAACATGTGGTTATGTGACTGCGGGGCACTGAAATGGCTGTAAATATGGGCTGGTTGCTGAACGTCTGACATGCAGTCACGTGACCGTGGGTTGGGGAGTGGCTATTGGAACTTCAGAAATGGGGTTGCAAGCCCCTCCCACCGGGAGGTCTGTTGTAACTTTGAATGGTTGCTGTGCAACTGGTCATAAGTCAAGAACTATCAATATTTCCAGGAAAATCTGCATAGGTTTCCAGTCTTACTTGTCCAGCTAAGTGGCAACATTTAGTTTATTTCAGCTGATCTTTGAGTGGATTTGACTAGAAGGCAAGAGCAGTCTGAAGGAGACGTGACTTTAAACCGTGAGCCAAGGATTATTTATCCTGCTTCATATTAATACATGGTGACCTTGAAAAGATGTTTGGACATTTTGAACCATGTAAACTAGCAACCAGCAAATCTCGTCTCTCCTTCTTGCTTTAAATCTTAAATCTAAATTGTGGTTATTTTTAATCTTCGGTTTTATTTGCATTTCACGTGCAGATTGCTCTGCTCTGCTGTTATGGAATACATGTGATACGGGATATATGTGAATGTGTGACAAGCTGCATAAAATTTATCTTTAAAAGCTGTTTGCTTTCCTGTGCTAGCAATCTGTCACTTTTCTCAAGGATGAAATTAATGTCAACACATTGATTGTTGTTTTTGCTTAACGTAAGACACCGACAAATTATCCTACTTAATCAGTTCACACAGCTTGTAGTTCTCACTGCTTTCTTGTAATGGATTGTTCTGCCACATACCTGTGGAAAATGTAATAGACCAGCTCCATCTTGTGGAAAAAGAAATATCACATTTGCTGTTTGTTTTGGTATTGGTTTTAGAAGATTATGCATGGCTCTCCTCCCTTATTTAATGTTAATAGGGTTACTCTAGCTGGGCTGCAAAAAATCTAGATGACTTAATATTGTCATCTAGCGGTCATCTGGATATTTTGCAGCATATGTGTGTGTGTGTGTGTGTGTATACATGTATGTATCTGTGTAATATATATAAATATATAGCTAATATTAATGCTTTTAATTTTATGCCCGTAAACTGGAAGTATCTTTTAAGACATATGGCATCTATTTTTGCAATTCTAATTAGAATTAATCTTACCTCTGCCCTACTGGGAAAATAATTCCCTTCTCTCTAGATTTTCAAAAGTAGATTAGGGAATTCAGTTGTTACTACAGCCCAGTGGAGTCATTTAAAAGAGCCAGTAATGTGCTTAACATTGCAAAGTAACCAACTGTTGGATGATTCTGGGAGTGATTGTTTATATTTTTTATATTTGCAGATATGCCTCTCTTTGAATGAACTTGAGTTTCTCTTGAATGTTCTATATGGGGTTGTCCCTCCTTTTTCCATATGCATTTCTTTTTTCAGATACTTATCTATTAAACTTGTCTATCTCCTGACTCCCAACATCTCTCAAGCAGCTCATAAGATACTTTCAGAGACATTAATTTTGAAATGGTTTTGGGTGACCTTGGGCCAGTCACCCTCTCCCAGCCTAACCCTCATCACTGGCTTGTTGTGATGGAGAAAATAGGAGGAGGAGGAAGGTGTGTTGGATATGCTTGCTGCCTTGAGTTATTTGTAAAAATAATAATAGAATACAAACAAACAAATACACTTTGTGAGCCCTCTTAAGAGCAACCCTAACCCAGCCTTCTTTTTTCCAGGATCTCCAGAGACTGCAGTCTCCCACTATCAGAAAGCCATTGAACTTAGCCCCGGTCATCACGTGGCCATGGTGAATCTGGGCAGACTCTACCGCTCCTTGGGGCAGAACAAGGATGCTGAAATTTGGTACAAGCGGTAAGCATCCGGGCGTCTCGTGTTCTTGGCAAGGCTACAAGAAATCCTTGACTTTTAAAAGGGAAATAATTTTGAAAGGGTTATGCCAACATTTTATGACCATTTTGCTCTTGACGTTTACTGCAAAGGAAGAATTTGAATCTTACCTGAATTCCAGGTTCTTTTTAGTAAGGGCTGGGCATAATGGGAGACAGTAGAAGAAAAGATGAGGAACAGTTGGGGAACTTTAAAGAGGCACGTAAAATTATTATTTTATTTTATCCTTTAGGGCACTTAAAGTAGCACGGAAAACTGAAATCCTGTCCCCGCTCGGAGCACTGTATTATAATACAGGTCGATATGAAGATGCATTAAAGATTTACAGGGAAGCTGCCTCATTACAGCCATCCAACAAAGAGACTCGGCTGGCCCTGGTGAGTTCAGACTCTTCTGAAAATATCAACTTTGCATGTTTCTTTTTTGCTTGCAGATGTGAGAACACGAGACTGGGCTGTGTGAGAATGTGAAACTATATGGAAGCTGTTTTAAACTAAAATGGAACAGGCACGTAGTCAGGGAGGACAGAAGTCAGGAATCTTGACAGAAAGATTTTCAGAAGGTAGTTAAGGTACCAAGTCATTAAGGATCAACCAAGAAACGTTAGCAGAGAATAGGCAAAAGAGACTGACCAGACTAAGGGGCTGCCACAAAGGAAAGGGAGTCAAGCTATTCTCCAAAGCACCTGAAGGTAGAACAAGAAGCAATGGATGGAAACTAATCATGGAGAGAAGCAACCTAGCAACTAAGAAGCTCCTTAGCAACTAATGAGAAATTTCCTGACAGTTAGAACAATTAATCAGTGGAATGATTTGCCTCCAGAAGTTGTGGATGCTCCAACTTTGGAAGTCTTTACGAAGTGATTGGGCAACCATTTGTCTGAAATGGTATAGGGTTTCCTGCCTGAGCAGGGGATTGGACTAGAAGGCCTCCAGGTTCCCTTTCATCTCTGTTATTCTGTTATTCAGACACCCTTGAACCACAATGCAATCAACAGTTACCAGATTTGTGAATTAACAAAGTAAGGGCTTTGGGGGATAAAAGGGGTCCTGACGGCCACCCACATGGTGGATCTGGATTTGATAGCTTTCATCCCTCTAGCTCAGGGGTAGTCAACCTTGGCTCTTTTATGACTCATGGACTTCAATTCCCAGAATTCCTGAGCCAGCTTAGCTGGCTCAGGAATTCTGGGAGTTGAAGTCCACGAGTCATAAAAGACCCAAGGTTGACTACCCCTGCTAGTCTAGCTAGTGCCTGGCAGTCTCCTTAAGAAGGATGTGGCTAAGTAGGGATGAGTGTGTATATGCGTATGCATGAGAGTGAGCAAGCGTACATTATAATCAGTAAAGTTTTGCTGCCACTTTGAATTCATTGGTTCTCCATGTACTGCTTTGTCACAGAACGTGATTTGCACGTGTTTCTAATTATTTCCCAGCTGATCACCAGGGCTATGGGTCTCGTGTGCTCTAACCACACCTATCTAGAAAACACAGATAGAGATTAAAGGGGGAGGAGGGGCTGCAAGATCCATGTGCTTTGATAAAAAGCATGAGATGAGTGAATGATGAACTTGGGAATGCATGTAACAGGTGTACGTGGCAGAAGGAAGGAGGAGTCAAAGCGATGAAGTGGTTAAGGAGTTGGACTAAAGGAAGTACACCGATTTTCTAGCTTACCTTTAGCCATGGAAACTCTCTCAGCCCAACATAGAGCTCTACAGAAGCTTCTTTCTGCTCCTGCATGAAAAATAATCAGTAAAAACTAGAAAAAACGACTAATTGCAGTACTCCTCGGATTATATCTGTTTCTTCAATGATCTTTCAAAGTTGGTGTAGCACTGAAAAAAATGGACATAGGATTGGCGTTCGAGGTTCTGACCATCACAATGTTGCCATATTCTCGGGTCATAGCACTGAACTACAAGCTTTTTAATACTTAAGCTAGTAGGATATATGATCCACAGGTAATCATCAGGTTACGATAGCAGTTGGGACTGGGACCAGGTTTCCTGTGGCTAAGCGATGCAGTAATAAATTGCAATGTCATGTGATCACATTGCTTAGTGATGAGAGTCTCTGGAGTGCTGGTTCTTGTCATAAACCAAGGACACACAGGCTGTTAAGTGGGAAGAGGTGGGATCCCAGGTAAGGAATGTAGAGGTGCTGCAGGAGGGTGGGAGAAGTCCTGGAAGAGCAATGCCGGATGGCAGATGAGTTGGAGGTGGGAGAGCTTGGGAGGCGTGTTGTAGGCCACATGTGACCTAGGCATGGACAGTCCTGCAGGGCGTGGGATGAATGTTGCAGTGTGAATGCAGAAAAGCTGGGATGAATGTTGCAGTAGCGCGCAAGGGCAGGAAGGCCAGGAGGGTGGACAGCAAAGCAGGGCTTGAGCATAGAAGGCTGGATGGACTTGCCAGAGTGATCTGCAACCTTCCCTGCTGGTTTCCCCCATTGACTTTGCTTGTGGGAACTGTCAGGGAAGGTTGCAAATGGACACTGCATCCGTCATAAGTGCAAGCCAGTTGCCAAGCCTCCAGTTCACAATCGCAAAACCACAAAAGAAGGCCAGAACTTCAAGGATCTGTTATAAGTTCTGCTCATTCAACTTCAAATAGTCGCTGAACAAGTAGTTGATAAATGTATTTCTAAGGCATAAAAAGGAACATGTGAAGTAGACTTCCACAACTGTATTTTCTAATTTTTGTGAATAGGAATGATGGGAGCAGTAGTCCATCTCATAAGAAGTGACACCCGGAGAGAGAAAGCTAGACTGTTTGAAAGACCAGCTGCAAACATCATTGCTCAACGATAAAGCAGAATATTTGTAGCTCAGGGCTGAAATGAGGGGTCCTTGGTGCGCTCTGAGCTTGATTGATGCTGTTTGTTTGTTGATGCTTGGTTGATGATGTTACTTATGTTGGGTAATGAACTGTCTGCAACAAAACAACCGGGTCCAGAGAACACCAAGGACTCTTCATCATCATTCAGCCAGATGCTTTCTCTTCTCAGATATGAGATGAGAGGCTATTAAAAAAAAAATAAAGCCTTTTTGATGGAACCACCTCATACAATGCCTTTAATGTTCTTAGGCTGCCTTACAGAGGGGGACCAACTGAATATTCTCCAGGATTCTAGGGAGGGAGAATTGTTTCCTTTACTTCTTTTTTCTCTTAATAGGCTCAGGTTTTAACAATGATGGGACAAGCAAAGGAAGCAGAGCAAATGTTGAGCCATATTGTGACTGAAGGGGCCGAGTGCCTGGAGTGCTACCGCTTGCTATCTGCCATCTACAGCAAGCAGGAGAACTACAACAAGGTATAGTTACCACTCTAGTCCAAAAGCCGTCAAGCAGAGCACCTGGTTAAGAGGGACAACTTTAAACAATCTTGAAAGAATGCAGAGAGCAATAAGGCAGAGATCCATCCAGTACTTCCAGGTGAATGTGTGTGGCTGGCTGCTTTGGCTGGATAGTGCTGTCCTATTTAAATGTCAGAAATTAATCCCAAATGTGCTTTTTTCAAAAGGCAATTGTAGTTTGTTTTTTTCCTTGAAGACGTTTCGCTTCTCATCCAAGAAGCCTCTTCAGTTCTAACTGATTGGTGGGGAATGGAAGGATTTATATTCTTTGCAGTCATCTCTGCAGTCATTCAGATGACTGTAAAGAATATAAATCATTCTATCCTCCCCCATTCCATCAGAAGTGAAGAAGCTATTTGGATGAGAAGCAAAACATCTTCAAGGAAAAACAAAGTCTAGTTGCCTTTTGAAAAAGCACTTTTGGGACAACCATGATCTGGATGACTGAGAATTGCCATAGACTTCAGAAATCAGATTCTGATTTTCAGAAGATTCTGAAGTGATGGGGCCTGTTTTACTGAAACAGTCCCCAGCAGAGACCAATTTCATTTCTCCATCCATAGGTACATTCAGTTACTTGTCAGGGTATTAAAGAACCCTAGTGTCAACTCTACAAATGAGCATGGCTGCAGCCATTGCTCCTACTCATTTTCAGTTGCCACATAGAATGGAAGGAGGGGAGTTGTCCAGGTGCTTCGCTAGTCTAAATAATCTTTTATCCTGTGGGAACCAAGGCCATCGGCTGCTCCCGAGACTGCAGGCTGGGCGTTGCGTAAAAAGCCCACTGAGAAGATGTATTGGGGAACGTAGTTGCTTGCATAATTTAAAGGGTGGGATTTTCTAACCTTGTATTTGGGAATTCTTACGTGTATCTCCAGACTTGGTTTCACTTTTGATGTGCCAATACTTTGTAATTAATAAACATATGGAATTTGCAAGCCTCGGAGTTCTGCTTTATTTGTCTCTGTCAGAACTATGACATTTAATCTAGGGCAAGAGTGTCAAACTGCCAGTCTGTGGGCCATATGCGTCATGCTGAAACCCGATTGCCCACCCAATTGCCGGCAATGGGGAAAAAGTCATGATACATCGCAATATGTCATGTGATGTCGCAAGTTTGACACCCCTGATCTAGGGGAACTTTCTTGGTAGAAGATCCTTCTGAACTGAATTATTGGCTATATTATTGGGAGCAAAACATAGATGACAACTGCCCAGTTTCAATCCATTCCTTCTTTTCTGTGCAACTCTTGTGGCATGCAGCCCAATCTATATTGAGCATCTTTCCACCTCTGATGCACAAAGGAGTAAAAGATGGGGAAGTCTTTTTTTCCTAGGAAGCAAACAATTTTTGTGGCCAGAATAAAAATGGTGATGCAAATAAAATGTTGTTTTTCCTAATAATAAAAGAAGGACAAAAAGACAGAGGTATTAGCAAAATATAATGGAAGTTCAGCAAGACATTTTCATTCATGTCCCCTGTTAACTTAAGGCCTTTACAAATGTGGCAGATCTTGATGGTTGGAGTGTATAAGAATTGAAATCTATCCACATCTGGAAGGCCACAGTTGGAAAAGGCCATGTCAAAATAGCTATTGAGGTGCAGTAAGAATTTTTATTTATTGTGTATGTGCAGGCACTTGAAGCCATAGACAAAGCTTTACAACTGAAACCAAAGGATCCCAAAATCATATCAGAGCTCTTTTTCACCAAAGGAAACCAACTAAGAGAACAAAACCACCTGGATAAAGCTTTTGAGGTACTCACTTATATATGAACACATAGATTGCTTATTTCATTAAATTTAAGTGATGTTCTTCAAGTTACTTACTTGAACACATGCATCTGAAAATCATAGAGCAAAAAGGCTGCCATAGGATAAATCCATTTAGCTGAATGTATATCTATATCAAGAGGTATCTATATCTGTAAGTTCTAGAGAAACAATGTATTTTGAAACTTAAAATTTAACAGGTGACTATATACTTATTTCCAGTAATTACTTTAAAATTTAACAGGGACTATATGCTTATTTCCAGTAATTACAGATCAATTTCTGTGAGGTTGCCAAAGTTCCCAGTTCCTTAATTTGGAACAGCAGTCTCTGATCCACAATACTCAGTTCATATCCAAGAGTACATCTCCACTTGAACTGTATTCCTTTCACTTCCCCTCTCATAAGAACATTTTCATTAGCTGGCTCTCTCCAAGATAACAGCTCTAGTTTCCCCTTTGTTCCTCCCCCCTCCCCAAAAAAAACTTTTACAGAGGCTAGTCTTTCAAAGTCTTTGCAGAATTGTACCCTTCTCTTGGGAATTAAATATATTAATTGTTCTAAGGAAATTACAATTATTGGGAGACATGTCATTAACACTCTATCCTGTCCTTCTCAATTTGGGGCTCCTGTTTATGGTTCGGCTACAACCCCCAGCATTCTTCATCCAGTAAAATAAATGGCCAGAAGCCATGGAATTAGTAATCTGGAACATCTAAGAACCCAAGTGTAGGAAAAGCTATTCCTTGTGTGCATTAAGATCTCCACAATATAGTTTCAGGTCTTCTAATGTTGAGTTTTCATTTTCATGTTAATGTAGAGCTATAAAGTGTCTGTAGACTTCAACCCAGAACAAGCACAAGCATGGATGAATATGGGAGGCATTGAACATATCAAGGTAAGAAAATGCAGAAATTATTTGTGTGTTTGTTGTTAAAATATTTTTATTTTAATAAAATAAGAGTCACCCATATAATTTATGATCCTTTGATACATAATGTGTGGTCACCAGATCATGTTGGATTACAAGATATTGAATTATCTAGGTCCCCTAAGTCTACTTAAAATAATATTTATTATTAAATATTAAATACTTAATTAAATATTAAAAGTCAAAAGATCTTTACATTGTCCAATTAAAAGCACTACAAGCAACAGTAGACTTTCTAAGTAGACTTGTTCTACTCTAGTTTAATTAGAGCTGGAACAAAATGTATCTGGTTTTTAATTAAACTTCTTATTATTTTAAGTTATTATTTAAAGAAACATAGGAAACTGTTGGGCCTCCAGATAACCATTGAACTGAATGTTCTCTCAGCCTCAGTCAACAGGGTTAATGAATGAGTATAGTAGGAGTCTACCTAAATACCATCACAGATGGCCTCTATAGAAGCTTCCTTCAAAATGTAGCTGCTCAGCTTGGATGCTGCCTTAACGCTAACCTTATCTTGGGTCATCTCCTTTATACCTTCATGTAAGGCACAACTCAAGGTTTCTGATAACATCTGTAGGTGATAAAGAGTTTTGTGAGAGGGTTAGTTCCCAAATAAAGTAGGACTTTAACAAGGGAAGATTCACAAAGGCAAGAACGGGGCACAAAGTCTTCAGACAGCTGGCTCTGAGTAAAAGTCATGGAAGAGAACAGCAGTAGCTGAAATTGGCCAAGCTAGTAGCAGCAGAGAATGAAATATGCGCCATATTGGGAAGGAAAAAACCCAATAGCTAGATGAATTTGAGATTTTATCTGTTTGGTCTGATAAAGATTCCTATGTAGCAGGATCCAATTTGGGTCGGTCACTGGGACCAGAGTCTTCTGAACTTTTGGACTCGTGCTGGAGCCCCCATCCTCAGGGAACCTCTCTCTCACCTGAATGTGTGACTAAAGACTAAATCTCTAGTCCCAGTGACCGACCCAGATCGGATCCTGCAACATTATCCTGGGATACGTACATTTGCCTTCATTCCTATGTAGCCTCGACACTTAATAATAATAATAATGTCTGGTGTATGCATCATTTCTCAATTAATTGAGAAATTAATTCATCTGACAGGGCTGCGGTGAGTGTGGGTGTGTGAAAGAGAACCATACACACTGTCTGGGCTCTTTCAAGGAAGAAAAGAATGACAGCTTTTTAAAAATGAACAAAGCAGAATGACAAGTAGTCCTCCACTTATGACCACAATTGAGCCCAACATTTCAATTGCTAGGCGAAACAGTTGTGAAGTGAGTTTTGCTCTATTTTACGACCTTTCTTGCCACAGTGGTTAAGTGAACCACTGCAGATGGTAAGTTAGTAACATGGTCGTTAAGTCTATCTGGTTTATCCATTGACTTTGCTTGTCAGAGGGTCGCAAAAGGCGATCATACAATCCTGGGACACTGCAGCCTTCGTAAATGTGAGACTGTTGCCAACAGTCTGAATTTTGATCATGTGACCAAGGGAATGCTGCAACAGTCATGTGAAAAACGGTCATAAATCCCTTTTTTCAGTGTTGCAACTTTGGACGGTCACTAAACGAACTGTTGTAAGTCGAGGACTACCTGTACTGCAAAAACAACCATCCACGATGACATGAAGTCTATAGAATGCTGACATTTAAAAGAAATCTGTAGAACCTACCTGTGAAGTTATGGCTGATATAATACTGTGCAAAAGGTGTTTTGATTTGTTTCTCCTCTTGTTCCACGTTTTTATTTTTGCAGGGTAACTATATCACTGCACGTCACTATTACGAGAAAGCTTTACAACTGGTTCCAAACAGCAAGCTGCTGAAAGAAAATCTGGCAAAACTGGACCGCCTAGAGAGACGGCTGCAGGAAGGGCGGGGAAGAGGGTAACAGGATTGGCAAGACAAATCACACACCTCTTGGTTAATGAGTGCCTGTTGTGGAAGCCCCACGTTTCCCTCAAGACAAAAGCGAACAGAACAGAATTATGGGGCAGTGGGGACCCAAAACAGGAGGTGTCTATGAAGGGTTCATAGAGGAGTCGCCAAAGCTTCAGGACCCCTCCTGGAGGTGTTGTAGGACAGGTGAAATCCTAACCTTAATCCAGAGATGATGTTGGGGAAATCTTTCAAAAATGGCTAAAATTAAATGCATTGCTGGGATGATTGTTGGAAGGGAGGCAAGGACTTGTTTTAACAACAATCAGAGAAAGTATTCATCTTGCAAGAAAAATGCTCTTGAAATCAGGTGCCTGATTAGCAAAGAATGTAGCTGCATCAGTCAGTGAGGAAGTATGGGAAGAGACAGGGACAGCTGTCACGGAGGGGGAATAGCACTCGCCCGAGGCACTTGTAAAATCTTGGTAATAAATCTTGAAGAAGAATTGACTGTTATCTCAATGAAAGTGATGTAGCTCATTCTCCTCTAAACACTTAGATCCTGAGAGTGATTTCAGGGGGAAAAAAAACCACCCTCTGAAACATTTGTGACAATTTACACTCATGTTATCACAGCAGCAGGAGGAATTGAGATAGGGATATGCTTTGGCCAACATGATTCATCATTTGTTTTTCTGGATTATGAAAACTGGATCATCCGTTGAAAAGAGGCAGCTTAAAAACAAAAAGCTGAATGGATTTGGGAATATTAAGAGGTCAGAGTTGCTCAGAACAGAAGTGCTAGGTTTCCCCCTTAAAGTTCCCTTCGTGCTTGCAGTGGATTTCATTTGCAAATATCTCTGATCCTATGTGATCTCAGAGGATGATTTAGGAGGATCTTGACTGCTGATTGTCAGGAATTGGTAGAATTAGCTGCTAAGCATCTCAGAATGCCTTCTAGACCCACAGAATCTCCTTGAATGACACATGAATTAATCTTGATACAGCTACATCTTGCTGGCTCCAAAGCCTTTGGATTTGCTAATGTTTTGAGACCTGGGAAATGAATAATTTCTGAGGCATTTTTTTTCCTAGTGGAAGTTTCTAGTAGTTTCACTTCTCCCCCCTCCTCTCAGATGAGGAAAAAATCAGTTTTATTAAATATGATAGAGGAGAAGAGAACTCATGTCACAGATAGTGTTTATTTCTGAATATTTATTTGGCATAACCAAAAAAATACTTTATTTTTTTCTGCTTAAGATGGCTTAGACCTGCAGTTCTTATTTTATGAAGCCAAATATGATAGAATTTCTAGGGACGGGGATAATACTCTAAGGGTAGTGGGTGCCTCTGAGTAGGATTTGAAAATATTCTCTCTAGGAAAAGGAATGTGGACCAACCATGAAACTGAAATCGAAATAGAATCATGGGGCTGAAAGGGACCTTGTAGGTCTTCTAGCCCAACCCCCTGCCCAAGCCAAGGGTCCTTATTCCATCCTGGACAAATGGTTGTCCAGTCTTTTCTTTAAACCCTCCAGCAATGGGTCACCCTCAATTCCAGGAGGGTTCCACTGACTAAATTGTTCTCACTAAGAAATTTCTTCTTAGTTTGATTACAGCTTAGTTAGACAGCAGCTTGTAGCTGTTTGATTAAGTTCTTAAGGGTAAGCTCTGCTAACACAAATCTGCCTTGGGCTCAGGTCTTATGTGAATTGATGGGGATCTTGACCATAAAGAAAGAAACCTGAGCTTTGGAAAGCAGTAGTAACCCCATGTTGGCTGCAACTGGATAATGTGCTATTAACATCTCCAGCTTGGTAATCCTGTCTCTTCCCTAACTTTGGATCTGTGGTTTGGACTTGCCTTACCATATTCACTGAAAGGGGAGCTGTCAAGCAGGAGGGAAGATAGTTCATCACTTCCAAAAATGTGGGGAACAGTAAATGCTCCTAACCATTTAGCTCAACTGGGGTCTTCAAACTTGGCAACTTTAAGACTTGTGGACCTCAACTCCCAAACCATTTAGCTCAACTGGGGTCTCCAAACTTGGCAACTTTAAGACTTGTGGACCTCAACTCCCAAAATCCCTCAGCCAGCCATAAAGTTGCCAAGTTCGGAGAGCCCTGAGCAAGACAATAACTATCCATTACAGTTACTTTGGCAACTGGCTGGAGAGATTTATCTGCTGTTGCTATTAGAAGAGCAATTTGGGAAAACTTGATGTATATGTCGAATGGTGCAACCCATTCAGGAGTCACAACGAAGCAGATCTAAAGTCTTTGCTTTAGTGGGGCAGTTGTCCATTCACAGAAGCCATTTTGGTTTATTTTTATAAACATCCCATGTTTTCCTATTTATTCTTATTTGTTAGTTTATTTCACAGCATCCATTAACAAGAGAAAGGCATAACAGCTCCGTAGGATGTTTTGCATAGTAGCATTCAAATCATCTACAGGTATTTCTCGACTTACAACCATTTGTTTAGTGACCATTTGAAGTTACAATGGCACTGAAAAAAGCGACTTATTACTGTTTTTCACACTTATGACCATTGCAGCATCCCCATGGTCACATGATCAAAATTCAGATGCTTGGCAACTGGTTCATATTTAGAGCCCTGGGGCCATTTGATCCCCTTTTGCAATCTTCTGACAAGCAAAGTCAGTGGGGCAGCCAGATTCACTTAATAACCATGTTACTAACTTAACAACTGTAGTGATTCACTGAACAACTATGGCAAGAAATGTCATAAAATGGGGCAAAGCTCACTTAACAACTGTCTCGCTTAGCAACAGAAATATTGCACTCAATTATGGTTATAAGTCGAAAACTACCTGTATCGAAAACTAGAGAATTTTGAGTTAATTTTTAAACAGGTAGTATAATTCCGAGGTTGCATGGTAGAGTCTTGGATTCGAGTCCCAATTCTTCTTTGGACTTGTGAAGGTAGTTATGTGAAATGGCATGATAGATATTTATATTAACATGATGGGAAGTCAAGATTTTAAATGCTGAATAAGGCAATGAAGCATCAAATGATAGAGTAACAGATCTGACTATACAAATAGCACTTTCTAGATAATAAGCTCTTGTTATCATTCTGAACTTTCAACATGTGGTAATGCAGAAATCTGAAGTTTGGCTGTCGGTCGTTAAAGGTCAGCACCTCAGAAAGCAAAAATAAGTTACCTTGTAACAGAAACATATTGTATCTTCTGCATTTTAAATCAAAATTTATTAGCCAGATGTGGATTTTTGGATTTATTTCCCCTGATGGATCAACATGGCTATGATTCAGGGCTTTTTGGTAAAATGTAAGCCCCTTGAGAATAAATATTTACAATAAATTCATTGTGCCAAATATATTATAATCCATCAGGGTGTACTTTTAGCATACCCAATTGATGTGTTTGGAGGAACATGAAGCAGGCTGACGTCCACATCTGGAGATCATCTGGTTTGGTAAAGCTATCATAAATAAGCACATTTTTAATCTTGTACCCACCAGTGTGTTCAGCTCAGCACAGCTATGAATATTTCACATACTGTTTCCTCATGAATAAATGTATGAAGGATGCCTCAACTGTTTCATCCATAAATATTTCTATCTTTGTTGAAAATAGCATGCTCAGGGTCAGGTTTTATTAATGTCATAGGCCATGATTTCCCTTTCCCTCTCAGTTTAATGAAACTGACATAATTTGTTTAAGGGAGATTCAACTTTTGTCAATTTCATCAATGCTGAAGAAATTCTCTACTAATCCTGACCTGAAGAGTATATATGCATAACCGTATTTACTTATTAGTTTTACTGAAGAATAGCAAAGAAAATGGTGCAAGAGATTAGACGATATGTGGAGTTATATCTGCATCTAGTTGGAAATCTGTAGAGCAGCAAGAAATAGGAGATTATTCTCTCCTGCACAAGCTGGAGGAGCTGTGGTGTCATTTATAAGAAGAAAATCTCATTTGTGAATGTTGAAATGTACATCAAGCTGAAATGAGGGAAAACTCTGAAGTCACCGATTTGTTTTAAATGCTTTAAACCTATGTGATTTTGACCTTAGGCATAAATGAGATATACTGAAAAACAATGGAACAAATTATTTATGACCTTTCAAAGGAAATTGATCACAGCCAATTAAGCTGAAACCGCACCTTAGTCCATTAAAGGATATCACAAATTGCAGCTTACTGAATCTCAAGCATTGATATATGATATGGTAAAAAATATCTTACAAATTTAATGGCAACATAAATTTGTAAATCCAGGTACATGTAGTCATTTAGGATTGTATATATCATCTTTATGGATCCAAAGTGCAGATGCTGAAATGTATTGTTTATTATTCACAATTTAATGAAAAAATGTATACTTTCTGGAAAATTAGCCTTTGAACTGAGATGATAACAAGTTATCTGAAAATGACAATGGTTGAAATACTATCATATTTAAATAGAGTTGCTTTTTTTTTTTCTTACCAGGAAACTATTTCTTCAAGTATTTACAGATTTATCTTTGCTGGGCATTAAAGGAAGCAATGGGGAATGAAGTCACAACGAGTGGCTAGTTCAGGGGTAGGCAACCTTGGCTCTTTTATGATTCGTGAACTTCAACTCCCAGAATTCCTGAGCCAGCCATGCTGGCTCAGGAATTCTGGGAGTTGAAGTCCACGAGTCATAAAAGAGCCAAGGTTGCCTACCCCTGGGCTAAATAAATCAGGGTGGCTGATTTATTGGGCAAATTGAACACAGGGGCATTATTTTCCCATTTTGATTTCTATGTGTTTGAGCTGAAATGCACTCAGAGGAAAGGGTCACAACTGAAAAATCTTCATGATTGCCTGCATCAGCCATTCTGCCTTCATTTTTAATAAATTTTGGCTTTTCAATTTGAGGAGCAAAAAGCCATTCAATTCCAGCTTGGTCAGAACTGGCTCTATTATTTTGTTATTGTTTTTTTTTTTAAAAAAAAACCTGTCCTTGAAAATGAGCTGCATTTCAAGCCATGTT